GATCGAGACCATCTTGGCTAACACAGTGAAACCCCGTCTCTACTAAAAATACAAAAAATTAGCCAGGCATCGTGGTGGGCGCCTACAGTCCCAGCTACTCGGGAGGCTATGGCAGGAGAACGGCGTGAACCCGGGAGGTGGAGCTCGCAGTGAGCAGAGATCGTGCCACTGTACTCCAGCCTGGGCGACAAAGCGAGACTCTGTCTTAAAAAAAAAAAAAAAAAAAAATTTTAAATACTTATTCATACTGTGAATTTCAATCGCTTTTCCTTCTACTTTCTGTTATTTCAGCATATTTTACACCAAGTACTTAAATAATTTTTGTTTCTTCTTAAATTAATAATTTCAGCCATAATTAGCAATGGTCACAAGGCACACTTCAAGTTACACCTCACTTTTCAAATCCCTCACCTTCCTTGATGCCTTTCCCCAATCATTCTAGCTCACAATTCACTCACTCACTCAACATTAAGCAGCTTCTATTTGCCAAGCACTGTATTAAGTGCGTAGGACATGGAAATGCCGTACAGGGACCCTGACCTCAAGGAACTCATTCAGATGGACATGCAATGGACCTCTCCCCAAACTGAGATCCTACCTCCGAGCGGGTGTTGATACAGAAGATCAAACAACTGTGGATGAGAGCTGCCATAAACTCCTGGCCTTCCACTTTTTAATCAGTTTTTGTTTTTAATTATTGTGGATACCCTGGCCTTGCACTTTAACTGGCCCTCAATGTTGCCTAGCTGTTTTCTCCATCTCATTTCCATATCAACTATTTTCAAACTTTCTCCCCTTTCCCACATTTTCCAACCCTCTATCCTCTTCTTCACTTGAGGTATGGGCCATCTTCTGCATCAAAAAAATAAACAGTCCATTTGTAAATTTCCTCATGTTGGTATAATAATTAAAAATGCATGTACCAACAGGGTACCAATCTGCCCACATCTGTCTCCTTCCATTTCTCCTCTATAGATAGAACAGACCTCTCTTCCCACGACGAATCTTTCCACCATTCTACTCTATGTACTCCCTCCATCCTTCTGAGGAACTGAACACTGCTGTGTCATTGACATTTTCCTCACTGTCTGCTCTTTACCATCCAATCCAAATTGAAATACACTACAGCCATGTTCATCCCCAAATTAAAATCCCTTGACTCTCATCTCCTTTAGTTCCCACTTCATTCTTTCCCCAGCCCGCCTCCTAGGGCAGTGGACCCTCCTGTACTTCCTCACCTTCCACTCACTCCTCAATTCACTCTCCTCTGGCTCTTACTAATCACTTTTCTGAAACTATCCTTGCTGCTTCGTAGTCATTTCAGTCTTTTTTTTTTTTTTTTTGGGGACAAGGTCCCCCTACGTTGCCCAGTTGGCCTCCAACTCCTGGGCTCAAGTGATCCTCCTGCCTCAGCCTCCCAAACAGCTGGAACTATAGGTGTCAGTCCCTATCTTGTTCTCTTGGCAGCCTTTGTCATTCGTAAGGAGTACTTGCTCCTTCCTCAAGCACCTCTCCCTTGGCTTCTCTGACGTGATGCTCTCATCCTGTCTTGCTGGCTTTCCTGTTTCCTTCACATATTCAGCCACCTCTGCCCACCCTTTAAATGTTGATATTCCGAGGGCTTGCTCCTTGGCCAATTTCTCAATCTTCATTCTCATCTTTCTGACATGCTAAGGACTTCCAAGCCCGTATTCGTAACCCAGATTGTTCTTCTGATTTCCAGACCTTTAATACATACACGGGACACTGGGTATCTCTACTAGGATCTCTCCCGGGACTTCATATTCAATATGCCAAACTGGTTTCCACCACATGGCCCCTACTTGCTCTGCTTTCTTCCTGAAATGCTTTGTCTTCAGACACTGATGTGGTTGGCTCCTTTGTATCATTTGGGTCTCAGTTCCAATGTCACCTTCTCAGATGCTTTCTCTTGACTACCTCCTCTAATTTGCCCTCCACAGCAAGCCACAACCCAGCATCATGTTATCTTAATACTTACAACTACATGAAGTTATTGTATCCACTTATGTCTTGCTTCAGGCTACTAAATGAAAGCTTCCTAAGAACAGAGGCATTGTCCACCTTATTCACTGCTGTATTGCTACAGTACCTGGCATGTAGTAAATCACAAACAATACTGATTGAATGAATAAAACTCCTCAATTTTGAACCTTGGAAAGATTATGCTAAATGAAAGATGCCAGAGACAAAAGACTATGTATTGTATGATCGCACTTCTATGAAATGTCCACAACAGGCAAATCTGTAGAGAAGTAGATTAGTGGTTGCTAAGGTCTGGAGAGGTAGTGGGGATTGTCCATGACTGCTAATGAATACAAGGTATCTTTTGGGAGTGATGAAAATGTTCTGGAATGAGAGAGGGGTAATGGTTGTATAACTCTATGTTAAGAACGACTGAGAGTTGTATGGTATATAAATTGTGAGTCGTATGGTATGTAAACTGTATCTCAATAAAGCTGTTATGAAACAACCGAACTCCCAAATTTACTCCAGAGTTGCCCCACTTCCTACACTACCCTTTCCCAACTGCCAAACTTAGGAATCCGAGTCATTATAACATCCTCTCTGCCCTGCCTTCCCTCCCCACAACCACCCTTCCAGATACAGCTGATCAGCCACAAAATCCTGAAGATCTCATTTGCGTACTCTCTCACACTCATGTCACCCACTACAGGCTCTGATCACCTAGACTTGGAATCTTTCAATATCTTACTGAACCTGCTCTACTCAATCCATCCTTTTATTCAGCTGCTACACTGCTGCCAGGAGTGATTTTCCTAAAACATAATTCCCCACAATATCCATGCTTGCTTAACAGCCTTCGCTGGCTCCCTGTAATTGACTATCTGATAAAGGTCCAAACTCCTATGTATATGAGGTGCTTCCTAAACTGGACCTCAACAGCCTGTCACTTCATCTGCTAACTCAGCTCTTTAGCTACAGCCATGAGGAATCTGGCCACAAGTTGTGGCCACTCTCACTTTCACATGTGCCACTTCTACTGCCTAGAACACCCTGGGCCCCCCAGTCTTCAACTCCTACTCATTCTTTAGGACTCAGCTCAAGCATCACATTTTTCAGGATGCATGAGGTATCCTTTTTTCCTCAATCTGTCAGAAATCCCTTTTCCATACTTTCACAGTGCTCAGTGCAATGCCTACCTGCGCTCTTAGATTAGCTATTATTTACAAAGCACCTACCGCGATCTTTACTCTTCAAGTTTTATCTTATTTCCACATGAGAAAACGGGTTCAGTGAGGTTGTTGTCCTACTAAGTGGTCAAGTAGATAACGGACTTCAGGTCTGACTTCAAAGTAATGGTCTCCTATTATTCCAAAGTATCTCTCCAATACTTCCCACTGTGCACTGTAATTCTCTCCATAAGGGTGAGAGCAATTAACTGGGCCCTCCTTTGCATCTGTATCCCCACGTGTGGTGCTTGACACTTGACACTTGCTAAAGAATTGAGTTATCAGATCAAGTGACAGTGTTTGCTCATCACAGGAAGACATGACAGGTGTGATCTAAGCAGAAGGAAACGGACTATGTCCCAAGCAGGTGCTCAATGAAGCCTTACTGAACGAATGTGTAAAGGACATACTTTCTACCTTTTGGAAAGCGTATATTCATGTTGTGCCAACTAACATCTAACAATAAACATGTTGTGGGTTCGAAATGCTCATCTGTAGGAATCCAAGTTCTCTACATTTGCATCTCCCCTTCAGCAGCATTCCCGACTGATGAGGACCATGTCCACTGAAAGGCCACTCTCCTTACGGACAGTGGAGGGCTGAGTTTTTGTCCCTAACACCTCTGCACTTTCTCCTCTCCAGCTTTACACCTTCCTTATTCTACCAGGACCTGAGCTGAGAAGATCGAAACTCACGGCACGTCCCTAATATTTTCTAACTTCTGGCACATGTGAAGCCCTGGTGTTAGGAAACAGACTTAATTCTTCCCTGTACCGCTGTAGCCTCATTCAGGTCCTCCTCTCATCCTGTCGATCATAAGCGTCACCGGCTCCCTCACGGCTTGCCCTGACGCGCAGAGATCCGTGCTTGTGCTAAGTGAAAACGCTTTTTAGCGTGTACGAAAAGCGGCCGGTGGCCCCGGAAAACTTTTTTTTTCCCCGACTCCAACATACCCTCCCCTGAAACTGATAAAGAAGCAAAATCCCGTTCACTCTAGCAGGCCCCTTCCAATCAGTGGTCCTCCAACCCCTCGAGCCTGAGAAGCCTGGCCTGCAAGCGCGGACCAAAGGCAGGCTACCGGGGACGGTGGGAGCGCGGGCGACGGAGCAGGCCAAAGTCTCCGGTTATCCCTCGCACCCCTCACAGCCCGTGGCCTCATTCCCTCTCTCGCTGGTCCCTTACAGAGGTCGGATCAGCAGCTGGTCGCTCTCCTCAGCAGGAATCGCAGACATCCCAAAAGTGTGAGGGCGAAGCGGGGGCGGGGAACAGGTCGCCGGGGTCTTCCTAAATTGGAAGGTAAAGAAAGAAAGAAGAACCCCATCCAACAAGAGCACAACTTCCGTCACTCCGGAGCCCGCGGCACTAGACTCCTCCCCTCGACTTCCGGTTGGGGGACGTCGCTTGCGAAGCTTCCCACCACTCGGGGTCCTGGAACCGGGGGCGGGACGTCAGGACTGCGCCTGCGCTTAGTCTCGGAGGCGGGGCCCGGCGGACGTGGGCAGGAGCGTTGGAAAAGCCGGCGCTGGAGCGGGAACGGGAGTAGCTGCCTGGGTGCCAGAGGCCGCGGCGCTCCCACGCGGACCCCGAAGCCCGCAACCGGGGGATGGGCCCGCGGCTGCGAGGTGAGCGCCCAGCCCTCGTCCCACTCGGGGCCGAGCTCTCGGAGGCCTGACGGGAACACGGCCCCGAGAGCGGCGCGGACGGCCGGGAAGGATGGGTGGGGCCGCAGGGAGGGCGGGGGAGGGATGCCTGGGCTCGGGCTGCGTTCTCTGCGGGTCTGCGCTCCTGGGGCGCGGGTGGAGGCGCCTGGAACCGCGGGTCGGGCGTGGGCGTTGTGGACTGCAGCTTCCGGAGCCGCTGCCAGCCCGGAGGGGAGGCAAGGCGGGCAGCGCGGGCCGTTTCCCTGCCTCTTCCTCTGCCTCGTTTCGGCCGCCTCCCGCCTCTCAGGGTCGGGGTTGTCTGTCCCCTTCGCTGTCACATCCTCCGCACCCAGCGCGTGGAAGGTGCTCCATCACGGTGACACACAGGTGCCAAGCAGGCTGGCGTCTGGGAGGAACTTTGGAGCCGGCTTTCCCTAGGCCCTGAGCTTGGCCCCATCCGTCCTTACCCTGGTGACCCTGGGCAGGTCACTGACTCTTCGGGCGCTTTGGCATCCTCGTTTGAAAGGGGCTGTTATCCTTCAGGCTTGCTGGTCAGTGAGGGTGAGAGGGATCTGTGCACCTAGCACCGTGCATGGCACGTGGTAGGCGTTTGGTACTTGGGAATTGCTGTTGGGGTGTCACAGACACTCCAGAAAGTTCTCGGCTTCAGTAAGCGCGTCCCCTGCCAGGCGCCCTGGCTGTGCAGAGAGGAGTCCCTGAGCTCCGCCTTTGACCAGCGTGCAGCTGGGAGAGTGAGATCAGAGACCACAGCAGATCGTGGCGCTGTGATCAGGGGTACACTGAAGCTGTGGGTCCCTGAGCCCAGCCTTGAGATCCCAGGAAGGCCTGCAGCCTGAAAGGGGCCTTGAAAGGTAAGAGGTAGCCAAGTGCCTGAAAGGTGAAGGGTGTCCCGGGCGCTGCAAAGCAGGGGCGACTGGAGCATCGCTCTGAGAACCACGAGCAGCTTTGCCTTGCTGAGATCAATTAACTGTGCCCGGGTTGTGGAGGATGGAAGTGGAAAGGTGGTTAGGAGCTGCGTCCTGGAGGACCTGGCGTGTCCTGCTGAAGAACGTTGACTTTGGTCTCTGACTTTGGAGAACCAGTGAAAGATTTTCAGCAGGCTAGTGGCATTAGATTTATGTGTGAAAGAAATCATTTTAATCGTTTTGGCTGCAGTGTGGGGTGGATTTAAAGTGTTAGGGAATCCAGTAGGACAAGGTCCCTTACCCACGAAATCTCCTTGGGTTTGTGAATTCCTTAAATTCATGCCAGATTTTGTATGGATGTGTATTTTTGTAGGGTGAGTATCCATCACATTGATCAGAATCTAAAAAAATAGTGTCTGTGCCCATGGTCTAGGATGACATGGGGCCTGGTGGAGAGCTGGTTCAGAGAGCTCTTCAGGTGGGGTATACAGTGGGTCTTGGTGCCAGATTGGGTATGGGGCCTGAAGGACAGCAAGGAATTCATGATTTCCTGGCTTCCCCCAGCAATAGTAGAATTTCCTAACAGGAAGAGAGGAGGAGAGGAGCAGATCTGGAGGGGAGGATGATGGTTTCAGCTTGAGACATCTTTGCATTTGACGAGCCTGCGGAGCATCCAGTCGCGAATCAGGATCATTGGCCTCATTTTGATGCATGAGTAATTTTGAGGCAAGAATGATTTGCTTGAGAACATGCATCAAAATTGCGGCAGATGTCAAAGACTTTAATAAATGCTGCTTTTTTCTAAGCCCCCGGGTTGATGATGAAAAGAAAGCCTTAAGGAGTTGCTGAGGCCTTGTGGTGTCATGATTTTCATATCAAGGGATTTGAGGAGACACTTCAGGATTGCACTAACAGTAGAATCACATTTTGTTTTTAAAATAAGTTTTGATTTAAAATTTAAATCATATTTAAAATTGTTACCTATATGTAAATATGTATTTATATATACTGAAGTATCTGATGCTTAAATACGTTATATACATCAACATTGTAACCCATCAGCGCCATTAACATGGCACTTTATGCTGCTACATTAACCTCGTTTTGTGCAGGCCTTGGAAGAAGGCTCTCCTGCCGTCTCTCACTGACTAGTGTCCTGTGCTGGTAAGGTTCTCCTTTGCAGCAATCACCCGCAGTCGTCTTCCAACGCATCTCTCTCTTTTTACTCTTATCCAATGGAGTTAGTTCCCTACCTGGCAGCCAGGGTGGTTGTTTAAAAAACAGAAGACACCTAATTGTGTCACTAAACTGCTTTTTAAAAGTCTCCATTCCGGAAGATCACAGCAGATAAGCAAAAAATAAATAAAAAAACCTTTAGAGTCCTCCTCTTAAAGTCCACTGTTATCACAGCCTGCCTGGCCTTCTGTGGCACTTTGTCTGGGCCCATTGCTGTCCTGCTCCCAGACAGCCTTGACTGTTCCCTTGGGCCCCGTCTCCGCCTGCACAGCATTGCCTCCAGGCTATTTATGGCTGCCCTCACTTCATTCAGAAAAAGATCTAGAGCATCTTTTTCTGGAATACCCACCCCTTCCTTCCTTCCTTCTGTCTGTGTCTCCTTAACTTCTCTTAGTTTTCCTCATAGCAGTTGTTTCCTAATAACATGTTTTATGTGTGTTTTTCTTGTTGGTCTGTCTACTCCAAACAGGCTCCTTGAGGTCAGGGGCTTTGTTTGGTTCACTGATGCGTCCCTGGCATTTGGTAGGTGCTCACTGACTATCCAGAAATGAATGACTAAATCAGATTTTCCTGGTACCCCACAGCAAAAACATAGAAATAAATCTGATGATAAGGCTGATTAAAAAGCTTGGACTCAGGGGTCAGACTCAGGCAAGTGGCCTGATGTCATCCCCTAGTAAGTGGGCTTAGAGTAGGGTCTCCAAATACAGAGAATCTCTGGGTTGCAGCAGGGGCTTTCATTGACTGCTGCCTGAGTCACTCGTTCTTTTTCCTTCATCAGGTGCATTGTTTCTCTGAAAAGCATCGCCCAGGTCAGAATGAAAGGAAACTCTCTGTGCAGACCGCTGTATGTGGGACCTTGAAGATGGTCAAATAGTGTTCAATTCTATAGCAAGCAGATTTTCTTGTTCCCTCTGGAGAACACAGTTTTTGGTAAAAATTGGTCAGGTTATCTTACTCATAAATCCTCTTGAAAGACATGTCACAGTTCCCTCATCTGTAAAAGGCAGATTACAACCCACTTTCTGTGAGCCCCTTGAGGGTTAGAGCCCTGCAGAGTGTGTGGCATGTGGTTTGCCCTTAAAAAGCATCAATAGAGCAAATGAATATGTCACAAGGTTATCATGAGGCTGTGACAGTGTAACTGTCCCGGGAGTTCTGTGAGCTATGCAGCTTCATATAGGTTAGTTAATGTGCCAAGTATAATCTATGCTCTCCTATGCAATCGGCAAGGATGAATCTTACGTTTCCAAGGCATTATTTATTAATTTCAAAAAAAGAAATGTGTAACATGGACTCTGGGAAGCAAGGTCATCTCCTTAGCTGCCCTTAGTAGAGAGGGGGGTGAGGCGCTGGCACCTAGGAAGGTCTTTGTGTCAGCTGTTACTTAAAGGCATTTCAAAACTTCCAGAAAAATGCACATTTCTGAGAGGTGTATATATCAACCCTACCAAGTATAGAATGTGAAGCTGAGAGGCTTACTGAATCTCAGTATCTCGGCTGAAAATCCGATGTGTCACAGCATATTTTGCTAAAATCTTGAATCAATTGAAGAGAAGTAAGGCCCTTGAAATTTTGAGAACTAGGCGACATGTCTAATACTTGAGACAAGTGCTTTTCACACCTCTAGGACAAGGTTTCTGCCTTTTTTTGCTTATTGGGTTAATTTTTTGTAATTTAATAGGAAAGAATGAAAAGGAATAGTATCCAAGGGAAAAGGTTTATGTTTTATAGAAAAGGAACACACCCATGGAACTGGAAGGAATTGATGATTTTTATTTCTATTATGCATAAAGTGATTTAATGTTGCATTTCCTGATGTAGCTGTAACCAATATCAAAGTTGCTTTTCCTGGCTGGGCATGGTGGCTCACACCTGTAATCCCAACACTTTGGGAGGCCAAGGGGGGAGGATCACCTGAGAGCAGGAGTTTGAGACCAGCCTGGCCAACATGGCAAGATCCTATCTCTACAAAAATGAAATTAGCTGAGTGTAGTGGCACATGCCTGTAGTCCCAGCGACTCGGGGAGGCTGAGGTGGGAGGATCACTTGATCCCAGGAGGTTGAGACTGCAGAGAGCCATGTTTGTGCCACTGCACTCCAACCTGAGTAAGAGCAAGACTCTGTCTCTTAAAAAAAAAAAAAAAAAAGTTGCTTTTCCCGATGTAACTGTCACCAATATTTGTTTTTTCAGGGGATCTTCTCTGGATCAAGAAATGGTGGTGAAAAATGTTTCGCAAAGGCAAAAAACGACACAGTAGTAGCAGTTCCCAAAGTAGCGAAATCAGTACTAAGAGCAAGGTAGGGAAATGGAATTTGGAACAGAATCATAAAGCAGGGAGAGTTTTGTTTCTTCTAGCTGATACTGTATGGAGAATACCGACCATGGGCAGACCTCCTGATAATCTTCAAACTAGGTGTGTTTTTACATTTACTTTTTGTGCTAGAGATGCATTCTACGCTTAGCTTCATTTTATCTGTTTTGGTAGGTTTTCTGAAATTCTGAAGTCCATTAAACTAGATGGGACATGACCTGTGAATGGTCTTGTTGAAATAAGCACTGATTTAAAAAATTTTTAAATGACAGAAATTGCAGGCATTAAGGGGCTGGACCTCTTGAGTTCTAGGGCTTGTGGTGTGCATAATGACTTTGACTTAAGAGTGAGATTGGCAGATACCTGTATACTAGAGAGTTCGAATGTTGTTGGAAGGTAAGCGTGGATTTTTAGTTCATGCCGAACAAACCTTTGAGGAGCTATTCAACTGGCAGCTTTTGTCTCAAAGAATAAAGTGATTTCTTTTTGACTGACAGATAATATAAGAGTACAAAGATAGCTGCATTATATTTGTTCTAGGTTTTTGACACCAATTTTGTTGGTGTTTAGAAGAATGGCATTTTTATTTCTACCTCCTGAACAATGGCACGTGAATACTCATTCATTCACCGAGTATTTACTGAGCATGGCTGTATGCCAAACTCTGTTTAAGGGGCATAAAATAGAGCAGTTAGGGAGAGGGAAACAATCCCTGGCCTCAGAGCTTCCGTTTCAGATGGGAGAGAAAATAATGAAGAAATAAGTAAAATAGAGAGTTTCAGATAGTGGAAACGAACACGGGAGGAAGAAACTACAGGAATGGACGGGGTGGGAGATTGGGAGAGGGGCAGTGTTCAACAGTCTGGTAGAAAAGGTCTTAGTTTCAGGCCGGGCACAGTGGCCCATGCCTTTGGGAGGCCAAGGTGGGCAGATCACCTGAGGTCAGGAGTTTGAGACCAACCTGGCCAAAATGGTGAAACCCTATCTCTACTAAAAATACAAAAATTAACCGGGCGTGGTGGCACACACCTGTAGTCCCAGCTACTCGGGAGGCCGAGACAGGAGAATTGCTTGAACCGGGAGGCGAAGGTTGCGGTGAGCCAAGATCACACCATTGGACTCCAGCCTGGGTGACAGAGCAAGATTCTGTCTCAAAAAAAGAAAAGAAAAGAAAAGTCTTATTTTATTTATTTTTTTTGCTGCTCCTCCTCTCGAGAAAAGGCCTTGTTTTCTTGGTGGCATTTGAGCAGGGGCCTAGAGCAGAAGTGGGGCCATGATAAGATCTGGAAGGATTGTGGTTCAGGGAGAGGAGAGAGCAAAGGCCCATGGGAGGAGCGAGCCTGTGTGTTTGAGGGGCAGCAGGGAGACCAGCGTGGCCTGGGCAGGGCAGGTGCAGGTGTTGTGAAGACCTGGGATTTTACTCTGAGAAGTAAAGCAGGGGGCGCCTGGGGCCAGGGAGTGACAGAATCTTATGTAAGTTTTGTTGGGGGTCACTTTGGCCACTATGAGCAGGGCAAGGGCAGGAGCAGAGACTGCTGGGGAGGATGTGGTAAGAACCTGAGAGATGATGGGGGCTTGGACGGGGTGTGAAGGAGGTGCTAAGACCTCAGGTTCTGCAGAGAGTTCCAGGCGGGCACTCATGGGACCCGTGGATGGATGACGATGGCTTGTGGAGTGTGCGGAAAAGAGTCATCAAAGCTTAAAGCCTTAAGATAGCAGGTGCTGTGGGAGGCAGAAAAAGTGATTCACTCCAGGTGCTTCTGCCTGGATGCCAGATACCATTTGAGACATGATTGATACCCAGAGACAATGAATAATTCAGAGAACGCAAAGGTGTGTGAGGTAATGACAAATACTGCTTCAGGGATTCCAAGACTGGGGAGATGATAGGCCTAAAGTTGCGGAGGAAGTCGTATTAGTTGGAGTTCTCCAGAGAACCAGTAGGATGTGTTTCTATCCTAGAGAGAGATTTTGTTGTATGTTCAAGGTTTATTTTGAAGAATTGGCTGATGTGACTCTGGGGGCTGCAAGTCCGCAATCTGCAGGGCGGGCGGGCTGGAGACCCCTGGGAGTGGAAGTGGCAGCTTGAGCCCAAAGGCAGCCTGGAGGCAGCTGGAGGCAGACTCTCCTCCTCGGGAGCCTGAGTCTTTTTCCTTTAAGGCCTTCACCTGCTTGGATGGGGCCCACCCACACTGTGGAGGGTTCTCGGCTGTGCCCCGTGTCTGCTGGGGTAGACATTAATCTCATTTAAAGAAACACCTTTACGGCAATGTCTTGACTTGTATTTGACCAAATATCTGGGTACTTAGCCCAGAGAAGTTGATACATAAAATTAACCATCACAGAAGTCTTCCCGAAAAAAGCAGTTAGTGAATGAGACCTTAGAATATACGGGTCAGATAGGCATAAATGAGGAAGGGAGTTAGACATCCCAGGCACAGGCAGGAAGCTGGAGCCGAGTCCAGTCTGAACAGCCTCTTCATGATTTTCTACCCTTGTGAGGGCTCTAATTTTAAAGCTGTGTGTTCACTCAGTCCCAGGACCAGGGTGAGGCACAGCATGGAAGGAGGCGTCTCACAGGGTCGCACAAGGCCCCCTCAGGAGATGCCTCCCTAGACTTTTCGTCCTGGGTGCCTGCCGGGCCTCCCATGCCCCACATGTGCCATGCTGTGAAATAACAGCCACACGTGAATGAGACAAAGACACATGACTGCCACTCAGTTTCCAGTCAGGGCAGGGTAAGCTGGCATATCGGCTCGGCGGAGCTGGTGGGTGGCGTTGTAACCAGAAGCACAGAAACCTGACATTGTAGGAGTCCTGTGCAGCCTTAGAATGGGGAAGCGAACCATGTTCTTGGAAGTTTTTGATACTCCTGGAGCTGGTCAACACAGAACCTCCCTACTGCCACTTCCTCAGCCTTAAGTGTGAGGACTCTGCAGGGCAGTCTCACCTGTGTGGCCCGATGTCTTGTTTTATTTTTATTTTTGAAGGCGGAGCCTCACTCCGTCACCCAGGCTGGAGTGCAGTGGCATGATCTCGGCTCACTGCAACCTCTGCCTCTGGGTTCAAGCGATTTTCCTGCCTCAGCCTGCCAAGTAGCTGGGACTATAGGGATGTGCCACCACGCCTGGCTAATTTTTGTATTGTGTTTTGTTGTTGTTTGTTTGTTTTGAGACGGAGTTTCGCTCTTGTTGCCCAGGCTGGAGTGCAGTGGCGCGATCTCAGCTTACTGAAACCTCCAACTCCCGGGTTCAAGCGATTCTCCTGCCTCAGCCTCCTGAGTAGCTAGGATTATAAGTGCCCGCCACCATACCCAGCTAACTTTTGTATTTTTGGTTAGAGACGGGGTTTTACCATGTGGGCCAGGCTGGTCTCGAACTCCTGACCTCAGGTGATCCACATGCCTCAGCCTCCCAAAGTGCTGGGATTATAGGTGTGAGCCACCACGCCCAGCTGTATTTTTTTTTTTAGTAGAGATGGGGTTTCACCACATTGGCCAGGCTGGTTTCGAACTCCTGTCCTCAGGTGATCCACCCGCCTCAGCCTCCCAAAGTACTGGGATTACAGGTGTCAGCCACCACGCCCGGCCACAGAATATTATTTCTAAAGAAATTGGGAGTATAGCTCTGAGGAACAAACTCCCTTTACATATGATTCTGTTTTGCTCAACAGTTGTGCTGTTTTTTTGTGACAGTTCACATGATAGTCTACTCTTCTCTGCCAGTTAGCCCCTGAATTCCTGCTGCAGGCCAGACGCGAGTTGGAATAATTGCAGAAGCACTGGACCAGAGACCTAGAATTAAGAGACCTAGGTTTGAGATCGGAGCCATTTACTAGATGTTACCTTGGATAAGTCACTAAACATCTCAGTCTCCTTCCTCATTTATTAAGCAGGGATCATGGTCCTTGCCTGGCTTTCTGCACAGGGTTTGTTTTGGGTTCAGCGGAACTAATGTGAAAGCAAGGTGAGATGTTCACAAGAATATTCTTAGAAGGCATCTTGTAAGGAGGTGGTGGTAATGACTTCGATTTAGACTAAGAATATTGCCACCACATTTATCCAATATTATGTTGTGGGACGAACGAACAGTTGGGATTATGTGATTTTTTTTTTTTTATTTTTGAAGTTTGTTGCAGAATTTGTCTTAAGAAAAATCTGTCACAGTTGATATGCCTGAATAATTGGCATGATTTCGTATATGTCAGCTCAACTCTAATAAATAATTTGAATGGGTTAGAGGACTTCAGAGAAGACGGGGCTGCTTCTGTGGAGGTTTTTTACTTGTTTTTCTGTTTCTCAGTCTGTAGATTCTAGCCTTGGGGGTCTTTCACGATCCAGCACGGTGGCCAGCCTCGACACAGATTCCACCAAAAGCTCAGGTACAGAAAAGGGTTGGGTCATTGATTGTCTGTCCTTTTCATTGATGTTCTTGTGGTTTTACTGGGGTAGCGCGAGTTCTTCAGTATTTGTGGCTTTCTTCCTCTCCTTTGCCACTTTTGACAGGAGTTTAGAAGTGGACCCAGATTTGGTGGGACATGGGCTGAAGGTGTGGCGTGATTGGGGAACCACGTAGCCTTTGGAGATTGGCACAGGCACATGGGCAAACTGGAAGTTTCAAAATAGTTTTTAAAGAAATGAGGTGGCAATAAATACATACACCTACTATGTACCCACAAAAATTAAAAGAAATGGGGTGGCAGAAGGTGAATTCCATTGGACTTACGTTGTCTATGGGGAATAGGGAAAATATCTTGGTGATTAAAGGGCTAAGGAGCCATTCATTTAGCCCAAGGAACCCAGAGATTCACCAGCTCATGACCACCACCAACACAAGTCATTAAGGGGAGGATCTGGCCCAGACCCTTGTAGATATGTATGCAGCTGCCCAAAATTAGTAGATCCTTAGAAACAGGCTGGGTGTGTTGGCTCACACCTATAATCCCAGCACTTTGGGAGGCCAAGGCAGGTGGATCACCTGAGGTCAGGAGTTTGAGACTAGCCTGGCCAACATGGTGAAACCCTGTCTCTACTAAAAATACAAAAAATTAGCTGGGCATGGTGGCGCATGCTTATAATCCCAGCTACTCGGGAGGCTGAGGCAGGAGAATTGCTTGAACCCAGAGGTGGAGGTTGCAGTGAGCTGCGAATCACGCCACCGCACTCCAGCCTGGGTGACAGAGCGAGACTCTATCTCAAAAAAAAAAAAAAAAAAAGAAAAGAAATCAAGAGGTGAGTTCTAACCCAAGCTCCCTAAGTAGCTGGTGGCTAACTGGAAATATATTCATTTTCTTGTCCAAATTCCTCTTTCTCTGTCAGGAATTGTCCTAGTGAATCTGTAACAGAGAATGTTGGAGCATTAAGTCCATTGTCTTTACTGCCAGATGCCTTTAAAATTATTAAAGTTGTGGGCATCTTTTTATTACATAACCTAAAAGCAGTCATATAGTATTTCCTTAGTATGGTTGAGATTATAAGTCGTTTGTAGTAGTTTTTGTATGGGCTAGATTTTGTGGCGCACACACACCTCTTCAACTGTTGCTGTTAGGTTAAGAGACTTCCTGCCTGGCATTATTCCATCGACATTAAAAAGAAAAACTATGTGGTCTTTTCTGATGGAATGGTGGAGGAAGAGTAGGCTTCCTGAATGAGGAAAGAAAGCTAACATGTTAGGCCAGGCACAGTGGATCATGCCTGTAATTCCAGCACTTTGGGAAGCCAAGGTGGGAGGATCGCTTGAGCCCAGGAGTTTAAGACCAGCCTGGGCAATGTAGTGAGACCCTCTCTCTACAGGGGAAAAAAAAAATGGTGAAGAGGGACAAAGAACCAAAAATAAATATCATGCATCATAAAGGTAATCATTATGTAGTAACCTTTTCTTTACTGTTTGTTTTGAAGGGAAGGTTAATATTTATTCCTATTATTGAGACCTTTGTATATTATATTTAGTATACCATGAGTCATAAAGGGTTAGTGAAATTTTAAGTTCTTCCCCATTATATACAAATATTTTGCATTATAAAATTTGTCGTTAGTGGTTATGTTCTAATGACTGTCTGGTTTTTATTTGGGAAGGGACTGAGGATACCCTGTAATGCAGATATTTCTTCTGAAGTCTTACCACTTTTCTTTCATCTCTAGGACAAAGCAACAATAATTCAGATACCTGCGCAGAATTTCGAATAAAATATGTTGGTGCCATTGAGAAACTGAAACTCTCTGAGGGAAAAGGCCTTGAAGGGCCATTAGACCTGATAAATTATATAGACGTTGCCCAGGTAAAAAAAAAAAAATTCCGTAACTCTCTGGTTCTGAGAGTCTGGGGAGCCAGCTCGTGGCTTTGGGGCAAAGGCTCACTCCTCGGGTCCACTGGGTGCTGCTCCACTTGCTCTGGACTGGAAGCCTCCGCATCACCACTGCACATGTGCGTGAGCGCTGAGCTGCGTAGGAACACAGGCGCCGTTCCTTCCTTCCAACACGGTACCTTTTTTTTTTTTTTTTTTGAAACGGGGTTTCGCTTTTGTTGCCCAGGCTGGAGTGCAATGGCATGATCTTGGCTCACTGCAATCTCCACCTCCCGGGTTCAAGCAATTCTCCTGCCTCAGCCTCCCGAGTAGTTGGGATTACAGGCGCCCATCACCATGCCCAGCTAATTTTGTATTTCTAGTAGAGACAGGGTTTCTCCATGTTGGTTAGTCTGGTCTTGAACTCCCGACCTCAGGTGATCTGCCCACCTCGGCTTCCCAAAGTGCTGGGATTGTAGGTGTAAGCCACTGCGGCCGGCCCACAGTACTTTTTAATTTTTTTTTTTTTTTTGAGATGGAGTCTTGCTCTGTTGCCCAGGCTGGAGTACAGTGGTGCGATCTCAGCTCATTGCAACCTCCGCCTCCCAGGTTGAAGAGATTCTCCCACCTCAGCCACCTGAGTAGCTGGGATTATAGGCGCTGGCCACCATGCCTGGCTGATTTTTGTATTTTTAGCAGAGATGGGGTTTCACCATGTTGGTCAGGCTCGTCTCGAACTCCTGCCCTTGTGATTCACCCACCTCGGCCTCCCAAAGTGCTGGGATTACAGGCGTGAGCCACCACGCCTGGCCAATACTTTTTTTTTTTTTTTTTTGAGACAGTCTTGCTCTGTCACCCAGGCTGGAGTGCAGTGGCGTGATCTCGCCCCACTGCAACCTCCACCTCCTGGGTTTGAGCGATTCTCCTGCCTCAGCTTCCTGAGTAGCTGGGACTACAGGCGCATGCTGCCACACCCGGCTAATTTTTTGTATTTTAGTGCAGACGGGGTTTCACTGTGTTGCCCAAGCTGGTTGTGAACCCCTGACCTCACGTGATCCACCTGCCTCTGCCTCCGAAAATGCTGGGATTACAGGCCTGAGCCATTGTGCCTGGCCTATTAATACTTTCTTTATGGGGCTGATCAATCCTATTTAAATGAGGAGCTGATTGTGGTGACTGGTTATATTCCTTAGGTTCTTCTTTTAAAATAATCTGGCACAACCTCACCATACCACCATCAGACCAGTTCTGTCTCTGAATAATCTAATTCATAATGATGTCGACCGAACATATCTGTTTATTCATGCAAGGTTTCTAACAAGAATTGAGATGAGTGGGTTTCAAAAAGATAAAATCAAGACGATAAAAAATAATCATCATGAAGGAAAATTAAGAAGGAAAATTAAATCAGAAGTATAAGGTGTAAACTATATAAGCATGAAATTTTATGAAATCTGTGCCCTTGCCAGTGGTGGAAGCGCATGAGCCAAAAGACTTAGTGAATTCGGTAATGAGAGAAAAAAAGAAAGTAAATTGTTTCTGGAGTTTCTAGAAAACGAAATGACATTTTTATGTGCACATTAAAAGAGGGATATTACTGCAATAAAAAGATTCCTTAACTTCAGAGAGTGTTCATCTGAAGAATGTGTAATCTCTTAAATCATGGAGAATGAGAATATGAAATACAACGTGGCAGGGCGTGGTGGCTCACGCCTGTAATCCCAGCATTTTGGGAGGCAGAGCAGGGAGATCACCTGAACCCAGGAGTTCAAAACCAGCCTGGGCAACACAGTGAGACCTCGTTTCTACAAAAAAAAATTTTTAAATTGTTGAGTGCAGTGGCTCATGCCTGAACTTTGGGAGGCCAAGGCGGGCAGATCACTTGAGGCCAAGAGTTCAGGACCAGCCTGGCCAATATGGCAAAAACCCCATCTCTACTAAAAATACAAAAATCAGCTGGGCGTGGTGGTGCACGCCTATAATCCCAGCTAATCTGGAGGCTGAGGTTGAACTGCTTGCTTGAACTCAGGAGGCAGAGGCTGCCGTGAGCCAAGATGGTGCCACTGCACTCTAGCCCTGGGTGACATAGTGAGACTGTCTCAAACAAAAAATACACCCACCTGGGCAAGACCCCGTCCCTACAAAACATCTAAAAAATTCAGCTGAGTGTGGTGTTATGCACTGGTAGTCCCAGATACTCAGAAGGCCAAGGCAAGGGGATTCCTTGAGCCCAGGAGGTCAAGGTTGCAGGGAGCCATCATTCTATCACTGCACTCCAGCCTGGGCGACAGAACAGTGAGAATGTCTCAAAAAAATCTGAAATGAAGTTTCCTATCTTTATGAAAGTAAAGGAAGATACTTCTGTCTGAAGGACAACATCAGTGAATCTAAATTGCCATTTAAGAGAGAACTCGGGCTGGGCACGGTGGCTCAGGTCTGTAATTCCAGCACTTTGGGAGGCTGAGGTGGGCGGATCACGAGGTCAGGAGATTGAGACCATCCTGCCTAACACGGTGAAACTCCATCTCTACTAAAAATACAAAAAAATTAGCTGGGCATGGTGGCGTGTGCCTGTAATCCCAGCTACTTGGGAGACTGAGGCAGGAGAATTGCTTGAACCTGGGAGGCGGAGGTTGCAGTGAGCCGAGATCGCACCACTGCACTCTAGCCTGGGTGACAAGAGCAAAACTCCGTTTCAAAAAAAAAAAAACTCATGGTAGTCTGGACGAGTGTAATTACTATCCAGCATTTGTTGGAAATGTAAAGTCATTCCAACAAACTACATTAAGTCCTCGGGTAACCTCGTTGATTGGTTCTTGGAAAACCATCTAGATTAGTTCCTCCGGTATCTCGTTTTTCAAGGTCATTTTGTTACAATGTTTTATGATGTTGAAGAGAAAAAAAAAATGGTTTTGTTATATGCATGGTTTCGCTTAAAGTTTTAGTTTCCAAGAACGAGCCGCAGCGTTCAGTGTGGTCTTACCATAAAAGCAACAACCAGTCTCAGTGTTGTACTGAAAGATCAATTATTTTCCTCTCAAAAATACACCAGCATTATTTTCATTCCTACAAGGACTGCTCAATTTCTCATATCACCATAGAATTTTTGCTTGCTAAAATTCCAGTATTGACAGTAGCATGACTGTTTCCCATACCGTGATTCTTGGAATTGCTTTAAACCTACTGTGGGAAGCAGTTGGGAAGAGGGTATTGTAACATTGTGGATGCAACTTATTTACTATGATTTCTCTAATGTGAGCAAGTGGTTCCTCAAAACCATTTACAGTATGGAACATCCATAGGTTGCCAACAGTGTCTTATGTTAGGGAAGATGAAGTAGGTGGTATTCTGGTCTGGGAGCTGAGACTGGATCGTCCAATAGGGAAGCCGTCAGGGATTATCTGCCGTTTCTGAGTAGCTCAAAACTCTGATTCATGTTTTTGTGAGTGGAGTAACTGCTCATCAGCAGCACTTGCCAGCCCGAAGCCCTGAGGCCTGGGATCACCAGACACGCCTTCCCATCTGGGCAGGGTATGTGGGCTCTGCTTCCTGATCATCCCACGTGCTAACACTGGTCCACGCTATGGAAGTGAAGACCTTAATTTTTCTAATGTAGATATTTTAACCTCAGCAGGATCTGTGAGAGGCAGCTCAGTTTGCAATTAGGATTAACACCAAGACAGACAATATGCATGAAAGGGATGGATGTGAATTTTGCTCAGAGTTGTGGGCTGTAAAAATGGGGCTGGGCACAGTGGCTCATGCCTGTAATGCCAGCACTTTGGGAGGCCAACTTGGGAGAGTTACCTGAGGCCAAGAAGAGTTCAAGACCAGCCTAAGGCAGTACCATCTCTATTTAAAAATAAATTAATGGCCCACACGGTGGCTCGTGCCTGTAATCCCAGTGTTTTGGGAGGCTGTGATGGGTGGATCACTTGAGGTCAGGAGTTCACGACCAGCCTGGCCAACATGATGAAATACAATCCATCTGTACTAAAAATACAAAAATTAGCCAGATGTGCTCACTTGAACCCAGGAGGCAGAGGTTGCCCTGAGCTGAGATCGTGCCACTGTGCTACAGCCTGGGCGATGGAGTGAGACTCTGTCTCAGAAATAAAAATAAAGTTTTTTTTAAATGGGGGGAAATGTGTCTTCTGCCTCTGTGGAGAGAAACTCTTGCCTGGCTGTGTACCCCACATTCTTTAAAGGGTTTGGGCTTGTGATGGCCAGATACTCGAGTAGTCAGAAATAAGACTAAATGTAATTTTAATCTTTATCATATACTTTATTTTTACTTTAAAGCAAGACGGAAAGTTGCCTTTTGTTCCTCCAGAGGAAGAATTTATTATGGGAGTTTCCAAGTATGGCATAAAAGTATCAACATCAGATCAATATGTAAGTAATATAATTTATTAAGAAAATTATGTTTTAGATAACAGGGAATTCAGGCCATTAAGAGCCCTCTTCTAATTAGGGCCACTCCTGTTTGCAGTGATTGGTTTGTAAACAGTCCTGGCAGTTGGTCTTAAATGTGACCAATTTCTTAGGGTGAATAGGGGCCTCCTTTTCTCTCCTGTGTTGGAAGGGTCCATGCAAGCTGTCCCCGACCCCAGACTCACACGATGCCTCCGGATGCATTTTCAAGTAAGGGCCCCTCATCAATTAAGAGCAGCTGTCAGCTTGGAAGATGGGCACAGACACTGGGATAGTCAGTTTAGATCACTCCACTCCTGTCTTACTGGGATTTAAAAAGGCGTGATCCTGAAGGCAAATTGCCCGAGACGGAGCATACAGGAACATCCCTTGGGGTGAGAAACCTATGGATATGCTGTTTCAAGCCTCACTCTGCCTGGGAGGGCGTGTCATTAGGACTGACGAACATGTGAGAGTCCTGATCGTGGAATCTTTCCTGACTCCTGCAGGATGTTTTGCACAGGCATGCGCTCTACTTAATAATCCGGATGGTGTGTTACGATGATGGTCTCGGGGCAGGAAAAAGCTTACTGGCTCTGAAGACCACAGATGCAAGCAATGAAGAATACAGCCTGTGGGTTTATCAGTGCAACAGCCTGGTGAGACTTGACTTTGGTTAGCTGCTTACTCGTCATCGCAAAACCCAGGGACTATTGTTGTTTTTGAAGGTTGAATACAATCCATTGTATATGGAATATCTGGGGATAGGGAATGAATATTAGGCTGGAGGTCAGCCAGCTGGCAAGACAGCGCAGGTTTGTGAACCATTTCTGTTAGGGCCAGTGGCAGCACTCACTCGTGCCTGGATTTAAAAGGTAAACAAAGCAGCTGAGGAAAAGCGTATCCTCCAGGGGCCAAAGGCTCCCTCCATTTCCGAAAGCTGTTGCCGTCTTAGACTGCGTGATCAGCCTTCTCAGGCTGCAGTCGCTGTTTGCTCCTCTCTGAAGGAGGGCAAAGGGCCCACGTGCAGGGAAGCTCATAGTGCGGGTTCCACTGACCTAGGCAGGCATGTGCTGTCGGCTTGCTCAGGAGAGGTCTTAAGAGGGTTGGGGGTGGGCCTCTGCTAGCCAGATTAAGTTCATGAAGAGATCAGCGAATGTGGCTCTTACTCTATCTTTTCACGTTATGTAGGAACAAGCACAAGCCATTTGCAAGGTTTTAGCCACTGCTTTTGACTCTGTATTAACATCTGAGAAACCTTGAATCCTGCAATCAAGAAGTCAACTTCCTCTGAAAGTTCAGCTGTTTTCAATCTGCAGTGCTGAAGTGTTATGCAAAGAATGAAGTGATCCCTTGCTCTAGGTTTTCTGAAGAAAATGGATTGTGTAAAATGCTGACCATTTGTTTATTAAAATGTGTCATATTACAGTGAGTTAACTCTCAATGAAGTCATCTACTTTCTGGGATAAAAAAAACTTCATTTGTCTTTTTCAAGTTCAAATAAGCTTAACCTAAGTGTCACAGAAGCCTAGGTGACCCAGGGGTCCATTCAGTGACAAACACTGAAGGCCTGCCTGAGGAAGACTGATGACATGTGTTCAGCAGTGGCTTCCCAGTGACGTGGGATCACTGGCATGGACCTCTCTCCGGCAGAGGTGTGGACAGGAGACCAGGATTCATGCTGGTTTGGAACAGTGACCTTGGCAACTTAAGACACACAAAGTAGATTTTCAGAAGTGTCTGGTCAAGATAACATGCTGGCAAACACAATTCTTAGAGTTAAGAGAACCTTAAAGGATTACCGCTCATGCTAAAAGTAGTATGTGAAGGATCTCATGTACAGTATGATAGTGTACTTTTTTTTAAAGGACTGTCAATATATAAAACTTTAAAGATTAAAAACATTAAAAATAAAACCATGTCCATTTAAAAGTATTTTATTTTTTTCCAGTCAAATGACTAGTTAACAAGAAGAGTAAACTTATTAAACATGCTCTAGTTATAAATCACTGCATTAAGGACAATGAAAATAATCAATTTTGGTTATACAATATATACAGTTGTGCTGCAACCAAAGTAATCAGGTGAATGAACTGAATATCATACATCTCAAAATAGCTTCCTAAGCTGCATATTATGTTACCCACCCCTTAACAGATCACACAGTAACTCTTAGTCTGTGTACATATTCTGAGCCATCATCCCAGATCTGATGGAGAACGGCAAGCAAAATGCCAGAATCCTGCAGCTGCAGTATGTGAAACATAAACTTTAAATATAAATAGATATCTACAATGTTTTTCTCTCAGTTGTTTTTTTAATTTGCAAAGAGCAAATAACTAAGAAAGGCTATTAGCAGGGACGTTAATATAATTTCTCCTCTGTTAAGAGTACTATTAGTTACTGCACAATAGCACCAAATTGTAGACTGGAAAAATATTTCCTAGATATTTATGTACCAGTGAACCTGATAGATTAGTTTGGGACTGGAGTTCTAATGTTGATATCAATCAACTTTATTCCTTATATAGCTGGCACCAGGTGGTCAAAGGCTGACTATAAAATACGGATGGAGGAGGATTGTTAAAATAGACATAAGTGCACTGTGCAAAATACATCTGTTTACTTAAATCTATGAGAAAATTAAATGAAGGGTTCAAACAACAGAAATTAACAATTAGTGAAAACAGATGTAGTGCTTTAATAAAAGAGAAAAAAAAACTACAGATCTAACACATTTTTACCCAGAACTTTGAAAGGCAAAAAGCGATTGCTATACATCATAAAACATTCCAGTTTGTTCTGTCTTCCTTTATAACAACAAAAAAAGTACAATGCCAAAACAAAAAACAAAAACCAAAACTCTACACGTAGAGTCTGCATAATAAAGACAAGCTGCTTCAATCAAATGTACCATCACAACCAGTGCAGCAGCAGCGCTGCTGTCCCGCTTTCCAAGCCTACACTCAACTTATTCCTTTACTTGTGTTAAAGTCCACGTGGGCATCACAGGCCTCTTTATTCTCAGCCAAAATGTCCGATATTCCTACTATGAATCTTACCCTCACAATTACTAAATAGAGGTATGACAGTCAAGTTCATTAAACTAATGAGTTTTGGTTTTATACTATACAACCTAATCCCCCCTACTACCACCCCAAGTAGCTTAAGAATGATATGATGGCCTTAAATAGTAAAAACTGGGATGTTTGGGAGTATTTTATTATCTGGGACCTATATATTTCTGATATGTTCTTGATTATAAACAGATGGACAGATTCGATTTCAAGACAGTGTGGCTACCATTCCTGTTGGAGTATTATATCAATACAAGACACTAAACTGAGTAAACATTCTCATGGGCTAGAAGGGAAGGCAGTGGTGCACTCAGCAGGAAACAGCAAGTGATGGGTTAATACAGCGTGGTCTGCGCCACAGAATTCTACTGGGTATAGTTGCTTTCTGTGTGATTCAGCAAGTTCAAGATGGCAAATTCCGAAACATCTAAAGCATATAAACTAATTTAAAAGAACTGTTTTGCAATCCATCATCCTTAGTTTTTAACCAAATTCAGGAAATGCAGTTTTATATAACCTGGAACGGAATGAACTGTAGTTACCCTACGTTGTCATAAATCATCAGTAGTTTTGTTAAGTATGATTGTTCACAACAGGTTATACACACATGCAGAATATAGTGATAGCTGCAACCTCACAAATTAGGGCTAGAAAGTACAATGCTAATGTGTAAATTTCCAAGTTGTTTTTTAAACGCTGGGTGGATTTCAAAGTAATACGTGTCTTTGAAGGTGAACTGATGGCATTTTATCGAGAAAGTCCAGAGCTGGGCTATGGACTTCTGAAGCAGCAGGTGACTGGCCATCTAAAATAATAATTGTGCTAAAGGTCACCACTCCAGAATTGGGCCAAGGAATGCAGGAAGAGTTTATTTCCAATACACTCAATGCAAACATTTTTAGGTTTAGCGAATTCCGTAGAGGCAGGATCTTGATTATGTATAACAGTTAAAATAACTTTTCAGTTCACCTGTTGGGAAATTCAGTTTTTCCTAATAAATGCATAGCAATGTTTCGTGAAAACCACAAATTATAAAAACAATTACTGATATGTAAAAATTGCCTCAGTTTTTAAAACAGACCAGTGGCATTAGAGAACATGGGCTACCATACAAACAGTTCATGAAACTGGTTATCTGGCAAGAGTTTTGGTACCAACAAAACAGGAACATAACTGTTAATGCTTTTGTTCAGTAGCAATTCAGTCAGCGATAAAGTGCACAAATGACACTGGGAATGCGCCTTTGCGACCAGGATCTCCATCAATGTGGCCGATCTGAAATGGAACAAAGTGTAGGTTGCTATTAAAATTCTAAATGTTAGTGGAAACTTTGAAGAGCATTACATAGGGCATTTGGTGAAAAAAAGCACGATTGGTTCAGAAGACTCTCTTCCGACAAGAAATTACTTGGGTAAAACATCCAAATGATTTTTGTCCTTTTTTCCTCACCACATTTCAAATAGTGCAGGCCTCTCCTGTGGAAGGAGCTCTTCCCAGCCGTGCCTCAGACGTTCACTCGCGGGGATGGCCACCCCCACCTGTTCCTGGGAGGCACACAGGTCAGCTCTCTGATCGCTACTCCCCGCTGGCCTTTTTTGAATGAATGAATGAATGAATGAATGAATGAAGCCAAGTGTCACAAGTTTGTGAGCTGCAAAGTCACCAAAAGTGGCAAAGGTATAAGTTGGCCCCATTTCACTGAGTCAAGCGCTTGTGTAAGGCTTCATTCACTCTATCCACTTACGTTCGCTCTTGGGTAAATTATATCCAAGTATGATCTCGAGTATAAATGATGTAGGCAAATAAAAGGCTAAAAACAGCCAAAATATGAACAGTGGGCTTTTTGCAGAGTGGTGGGGGGTTGCTGTGGCTATGGGCAACTTCTGTTTTCTGCTTTATGCCTCCATTTTCCAGTTTTGGAAATGAGCAGGTATTTTCCACATGGCTAAGCCTGTGGTCAGGCTGGCGCCCTGTCTGGACGGTGGGTTGTAGGCAACTGTGGGAGCTGGCTGGCAGGGCTGGCTCTGTGTGCAGGTGGGTCTAGTGGGTGTGTGGATGGGAGGGGGCAAGTTCGGGTCCTCACGTGCTCCATGCAGCCAAGCTAAGCACTCTCCTCACCAGAGCCCAGGTGCTGTGGCCCTCTGTGCCTGCGCCATAGTGAGGCTGATGGTGGGAACTCTGGATCCACACTTTATTTATTTATTTAGAGATGGAGTCTGGCTCTGTCACCCAGGCTGTAGTGCAGTGGCATGATCTCGGCTCACTGCAACCTCCCCATTGAGGGTTCAAATGAGTCTCCTTCTTCAGCCTCCCGAGTAGCTGAGATTACAGGTGTCTGCCACCATGCCCAGCTAATTTTTTGTATTTTTAGTAGAGAACCATGTTGGCCAGGCTGGTCTTGAACTCCTGACCTCAAGTGTTCCGCCTGCCTCGGCCTCCCAAAGTGCTGGGATTATGGGGGTGAGCCACTGCACCCAGCCCACAGACACTTTTAATCCATTAAGGGCAAACGAGGCCACAGGAAAGGCTGGTGAACCCAGCCCTGCCAAATGAACACAGTGCTGCCTGACCCTGAGAGCTCACAGCGCCTCTGGAAGCTGAAGACGTGCAGTTTAAACACTGGTGGGAGCTCTGCGAGGGACAGCGACTAAAGACAGTGTCCAAACTCCTTGCACTTGACAAAGCAGTTCCCCTAAGTCCTGTGAGTTCCCAGCTGAACTGTCCGCTCTGAGCTCAGATGCAGAGCCACGCCACTTGCGTCTGCTGTGTGGTGGGCTCAGCCTGGGGCTGTCTGCCTGCGCCCCATTCAAGCCGGTTCGTCCACTGCCCTCACTGTATACAGCTGCCGCTTAGTGGGTGCTCACCGGATCATCTGTGCCAGACTGTGTGTGTGACCCCCTTTCACAGATGATCCCACTAACACTTAAAGATAAAAGCAACCAGCCCCAAGCCACCGGCCCGTGAGTGGCCAAGTCTGAATTCTTAGGTGGCCGGCGCTCATCTTGTTCCCATATCCTGCTGGACGCCTGGGCGGCCACAGCTCATTTCAGGACCAGACTCACGCCTGGGGCTCTGTGCTCTAGGTCAGCTCCTTCCAGACACCCGATCCCACGAATCCAGCAATGGGGGGTGATGACCTAGAAACTCAAGGCCTCAAAATGACGGAGTCTCACTTCAGGCCCTCATGAGTGCTCTGGAAACTGCACCCTAACAGGGGAAGCAGCCACCCTGGGGAATAATCAGGCCTGCTCAGAAGTGGGTGTCCATGGAGGAAGCAATTCCTGAGGATGCTAAGGGGCAGAGGCACCAGGAACCATGTCTGGACTGCTCAGGCTGAGAAAATCTCACCTGCGAGCCAGCCCCCAGGAACCTCCCGGGCCCACCCCTGACTCACCCACCACTCCTGGTCCTCCTCCCCGTCCACGATGATCACATCCCCCTCGGAGAAGGTTAGCTCATCGGGGTTGTCAGCCACACAGTTATAGAGCGCTTTCACCCGCTTAGGCTTCAACTTGGTCTGTGTCAGGAGAGGGAACAAAGGTTAGCGTGGCTGCAGCCCTCAGCTCTCAGGGCAGAGCCCAAGCACCCTGCCTCCCCCGGTCTCAGGAGCCCCGTACCTAGGCCTGAGAAGCCCGCAGATGCCAAGGTGGGGCAGGTCAGTGCAGCTCAGGAGCCAGGGAGAGAAAAGGGAAGAGCTCCCCACCAAGCAGAGAGAAGGGGCCAAGGGCTGGGAAACAAAGCGGCCGGGGCAGGGCACTCTGAGTGGGCCCTTCCTGGAGCTGCGATGGGAGGGCCAAACCCACCGGTTGCCAAGATCCAAGCAATCAGGTACCAAGAAG